GGTACTCCAATGACTTGCAGCCTTTCCCATAATACTTCACGAGGTACGGTGTCAAAAGCTTTCTTAAAGTCAATAAAGGCGCAAAACAAAGCTTTTCCATTGCCCTTTGACTTCTTACATAAAACACGCAAGGCAAAGATATGGTCAATGGTTTTGTATGTGGGGCCAAAAGCTACTTGAAAGCGCACTCTCTTTAGATAAAATTTAGTCTATGCGCTCAACTTTGACTCTACCAATCTGCCAAACAACTTGGCAAAAACACTACACACGATGATAGTGCGATAGTTTGTCACCAAGTCCTTCCCTCCTGACTTGTGAATGTGCACAATCTTCCGTAAAGACCAAGTTGAAGGAAAACCATACATAGCATCATTTTCTAACGCTTTAGTGAGTATTGGTCCAATAACATCTCCTCCCCAAATGCATTGATGCAGCGTCGGGAAAGAAATAAAGTTTTTCAACCAAGTCAATCAAACTCTTGGGATCAATAGTAGTTTTAAAAAACCGTACAGCTAACCGTCTTGTATTTGGGATTCCTCATCAACTTCTTTGTCAAGGATTCTTGCTTCGTACTCAAAAAAAGCTCATTTCTTGGACTTCACCAAGTCTTTGTAAAGTCTTGTCCAGATAAGCCGACTTTGGAGATCGAAAGACTTGTCAACTAATCTCATCCTCGCGTGCTTACAATCAAAGTCAAACCATCCATTGCAAGGAAGCCCCCTAGCTCTTCGATATTTGTGCCGCAAAAAGAACTTAGAAGCAATGTCTTTGAGTAACTCTGTTAGTTGCCCACTCGCTATATGTGAATCAAGGCTACATGAAGTGTGGATCAAAAGGTTTTGAAAATGTAGCATGTAATGCTCTTCCTACTATGATATAAAAGAAACTTGGGAGAAGATAAAACAGAATGGCATGGAAGGGTGATTGTTTTATATAACAATAGAGTAAATAAAAGAGGTGCATGATTTGATTCTGGCTGAGGTTCTAGAATATCAAATTTTGAAATAAGAGAGCTATTTGTGTCCGATGATAGAAGATAATCAATAGTGCTAACAACTTTAGGAGAAAACACGTATTGGAAAGGAAGTTCGGAAAGAGAGAGAAACCGTTAAGAACTTTTAGATTACATGTGGCTCCAAAGGTTAAAATATGTTTTGTCAAAGGATTTGTACAAGTATTAGAAGAGTTTCTAGAACACATACTATCTTCAAGTTCTTCAAAGGAGGAAGAAGTCAATAAATCACCAACTTGGATAAATTGTGCATAACCTATTCGAGCATTGAAATCTCCAACCAAAAAAACTTCACCTTTGCTATGATAATTGAGAACATCAACTATAAGTCGATGGAATGGTTGACTCTGATTGCAAGTGCGTGTGGAGTAGATAGGCATGAACAATGATGCAAAGTTTCAAATAGTCAAATAACTATAAGATACTTCAACCAATCCAAGACAGAGCCATTGATATTGAACTCTAATATCCTGACCTTCTAGATGTATCAGAGGTTGAAAATGAGATCTGATGAAAGTAGCAATACCGCCATAGCTTGATCTACTCGTTGACTTCTATGATTCCAAGTGAATCCCATCAAAGTAAACCCTGCTATCTCTCTAATAGTGTTGCTCTCATGTTTTCACGTCTTCACAAGGTTGATGATGTCCGCCATCTTCCAAATCGAATCAGCACTCACATCCTTTGTTGTAGAAAGAACTCTAATATTCCACATTAACACCCTCAAGCTTTTGGATTGCTATGTTGATGATTGTCTTTTCCGTTGAGTGACAATTGTTTGTCCATCTTGGAGATAAGCAAAAAATCCAACATCTTGAACTTCTTTGACTTTTGCAAGCTCCTTTCTCCTTGCCTAACTTTGTACACGTGTGAGATCGTGATCTAACCAAATCCCACGTCCTTTGAGAACGGCTTTGTTAGCTAAAGCTGTATCACGTTGAGTTTAGCTATTAAACTTAACTATGATGGTTCAAGGTTGGGTTCCTATGGTTCCAATGCGAAAAGCTTGAGCCACATCCGGATTAGGAACATCAAGCGTTTCAGCCAAAAACTTGGTGACAACAGTTTGCACCTCTTACTTCTCAGATTCAGGTAGACCAAAAATTCTCATATTCTTTCTACGAGCAAATCGACTAATCTTATCAATCTCTTGCTTTTGACAGAAAGATATATGAATAGACTTGGTGGCTTCAACATAAGATTTCAATTTCAACTCTAGAACTTTCAACCACTTCATGCAATCTAGGAGTAGCAACAGTGGAAGCTTGAGAAACAACTTTCTCTTGAATATTCTCTACGTGTTCCGAAATATCAACCATAATCTTCTCAAAACTTTTATTGGGAGAGCTTCAACTCTCAAATTTCATATTGAGCTGCAATCAAAGTAGATATCTGTACCTTGAATTCTCCACAGAGTACTTTCAACTCTTCAAAAATCGTTTGCAGAAGATTTAGTATCAAATTGTCTTGATACACCATCATGTGAATGCCTCTCAAAAACTCGAGACTGAAATATGTTTCAACTTTGACCTCCAAGTTGCGTTCAGTCTCAAACTTTGCAAGCTTGTGCTTCCTGCCCAGGTCCACAAAGTTTCAGGTCCAAAGCATTTTCGAGCTCGAAGTAACGGCCTCTACAAGATTCGGCACTCCTCTCTCAAAAAGCTCAAACCTCCAAGAAGTTAACACGTCTTGGAGGTTTGAGCTTTTTAAGATGAGGGGGGGCCAAAAATTGCAAGGGCCGTAAGTTCTAGCTGGAGTGTGAACGAGGGCTGAAATTTTGTGGCATTGTGAGTTTGGGCAAAGCGCTATAGCCTGTTAATTTTCACATTGTTAATTTACTTGTTCTAGATATGTAGAGATTAGAGTGACTCACAAAGTTGTTGAGAATTTTTATTCTTTGCTTCAGCTAGAGGCTTATGATTTAGGTTGTTACATTAGGAATGTTATTAGTTACCATTCTAGTGCTCTTAGCACTAGCTATGAGGTTCTTTTGATTCTCTCCCGATCTAGTGCTCTTAGCACTAGCTAGGGGGTTCTTTTGGTTCTCTCATAAGTTGGATTGTTTGTATTGTGTTTTTCAACCTTTTGACACTTTGGGTCTCAAGGGCTTGATCTATTTACCATTATTATTTACATCAAACGGAGTTCCAGATATAGAGTGCGTCCAATTTTGAGTTTTGAGTTTCAAGCAAGTTTCAAGATTTGAGGGCAAGAGAGTCAATTTTTACGGAGCTGTTTCTTCAAGCTTGAGTGTGCACTGAACCTGAAACTTTGAGGGAGATTGTAGATGGGCAGGGCGCACCAGCTTGCAAAATCTCAGACAGAATACAATTTGAAGCAAGAAGTTGACACGTCTTGGAGGTTTGAGCTTTTTGAGAAGGGAGGGTCAAATCTTGCAGGGGCCGTAACTTCGAGATGGAGTGTGAACGGGTACTGAAGTTTTGTGGCATTGTGAGATTGAGCATGGCACTATAGTCTGTCAATTTTCATATTGAACAGAGTTTCAAAGATAGAGTGCGTCTAATTTTGAGTTTTGAGTTTTGAGCTTTGAGTTTCAAGATTTGAGTACAAGAGAGTCAAGTTTTACGGGAGCTGTTTCTTTGAGCTTTAATGTGCACTAGATCTAAAACTTTGTGGAAGGTTGAAGTTGGGCATGGCGCACAAGCTTGCAAAATCTCAGACCAAATGCAATACGGAGCAAGAAGTTGACACATCTTGGAGTTTTGAGATTTTTAAGAGGGAAAGGTCAAATCTTACAAGGGCCGTTATATCAAGCTGGAGTGTACTTTGGACCTGAAACTTTGTGGAAGCTTGGAACTGGGCAGGGAGCACAAGCTTGCAAAGTTTGAGATTAAACGCAACTTGGATGTTAAAGTTGAAAGCTTATTTCAGTCTTGAGTTTTTGATAGGCATTCACATGAACGAACAATGTTTCACACGAGCATAACTAGACAAATAACTCAAGAATATGATGGTTCAAATCACAATTCTATCATAATTAACCTAGTCGCATATCTAAGCATTCAAAAACAAAGCAATTGGATTCTACGACAGAAAACAAAGTCAATGTGGTATATGCTTATGTTGGACTCACCTTGCTTTGGCGAGGCTGGAAATGCACTATGCATTTTTTCTCGTATTGTGATCAATTGGATGATCTAATGATCATTCCAATGCCCACTACTCTTCGAAGCATTCATTTCCTTTTTCACGCCGTTCACCTGCGTAATTTCAGGTTTTTTGCGAACAATTCTTTGTTTCTTGCTTGTTTTTGTCTGTATATCATCACATTCACTGAATTCGCGTTTTTCAAAACCAATATTGAGTCCAATGGAAACCCTGGAAGCAATTTGACTTGCAGGAAAAAACGGACTGTGGAAAAATTAATGACATTTGAACACTTGGGTGTGAAAAACTTCCGAAAAAAGTAGAAGTTGGAATGGTAGTACCCTGCGCAGGGTACTACCTGCGCACTGAATTCATGATGGGTGAAGTCATGAAGTGGAGTTCCCTAGGAATCCCTCGTGTCAAGAGAATGTCAACAAAATTTCAATACAATGGGAGTTTATGTTACTGTAAATATCAGATATCTTGGCGGAAGTGCTTGGTACTTCGTAACAATAGTTTTTTTCCACCTATGATGTTTTAAATAGCTGCTTCCTCCCCTTGGTAAAGGGGACACCTGGCCCGCCAATGACTGATGAGGGTTCAATACCACTGCCGTTCGTGTGGCTTGGCCCTTACTCAATTTCATATTCAAGCGCCGAGCATTTGTGCATGGTGTATTCTAGAGAATTTCTACTTGGAATGTTCTTCTTATTCAGTTTTGAAATGATCTTGTGACATTGAAGCCATGCGCAAAGTATATGGAAATGTTAAGTAGGCAAGAACCGAAATAGTGATTAGGTGGACTATTGTAATATACATACCTTTTTCGGACTTTTTCGGTTACATAGGTAGACTATTGTAATATTACGGCCGAAAATTGCGGATAGGAAGATGTACGCTGTTACATAACGGACAAGGTGGAAACGTTTGGTAGCAACAAGGCAATGGGAGTATGGGTGCACAAATCTGGTCAAGTTAGAGCCAATTAAACAAAGAATCCTGGAATTCGTGGGATGCAATCTGCTGGGCAGGTTGGGCCATAGCAAGTACTGTAATGAGATGCCACAGGAAGAAATTAGCTGACGTCCAGGAGAAAGAAATCTGAAAAAGGCTCGTGCCAGACTGAGGCTCGTCACGGCAGTGATGCGGATGATTCATCTTCTGGCAATTGCCTCTTTGACCTTGCCTCTTGTCGAAGAGAATCTCCAGAAAATGATATCTCTGAAATCCGAGTAACTTCACCGGATCCAAATTTCAGGCTGCGCTCGGGGCACATTCTTCCTGACGTTAGTCTCTGTAACACGCTCCTCCTCTACAAAGGCACTGATGACGACGTCGTCAATGGACTTCTCATCTACAATTCCATCTGCTCATCTGGTGAGCCAACATGTTTTCATGCTGGCCGGACCTCATATCTCAAACATCAGCAAGCCCGTGATGGAAATTCATACACGTGGTTGTATACATCGCCACCTCTCGAGGTGCTGGTTGGAAGCTCGTCGGCTGAGGACCACTGTCAAACTTCGATACGGGCAGCGGAGTGATCTTCCCGTAGACTGAGGTCGAAGAGGCCCCGACCATCGCAAGCTACGGAGTAGCCCTCGAGCAGACCTCTGACTCGGCGATTAGACCGGCGACGCTGATCCTGACGTGCGACACGGGATTAGACCGTGCGACGATCGTAGTCGGAGTACCCGATCGGTCACCGCCGCCGCCGAGTGAAGAACATGGGTGAAGAGAATGGGCTTGAACCGCTCATTCAGAAGCACGTCGGCATCGATGATACAATAAATGTCCACGCTTCCAAGTTTCGTTTCTCCCGGTGCTCTCGCTCCAGCGACGGATCTGTATGCATAGTTGTGGAACTTGTCACGGCCTTTTGGACCCATTCTCTCAGAATCGTGAGAGCCCGTGAACTCTGCAGCGCCTGTGAGTCACAGGCGCTTCTCATTTCTTGTCACAGGCTGTGACAAGCAATGAGAAGCCTCCTGCTTTATACCGAAGCTGGCAAATCTTTCGCCCCAGCGTCCCATCTCCACACCCTCGTGCTCGAGTTTCCATGAAGGTGCTAAAACGTCGTCGCCTTTCCAAGCGCGGGGACACTCTTCGTCCCAGTCCCTCCGTGGTTGGAAATGGAGTTAGTTCTCTTCACCGGTGCTGCTGTCGAAGGGAGAAACGATCGCGGCTTCACCAAGATGAAAGTACGTGGCATTCGGAGACTGCACATGTACTTCCTATTTTGTGAATACTTCGACGATCACGCCTATGAAGCTGAGCCAGGCCACCATTCCCGTCTTCGTAACAACAACGATCATAGTCAGATGACTTTTCAGCCCTTTCTTCTTGGAGCGCGGAGCCCATTGCAATATAAGATGGTCTTCCAGTCTGCCAGCAATCAGACCAGCAGTAAGGATCCCACTGTTCCTTCTCCCACCTTCTCTGCCCTCTTCTTCGCCCAGTTCCTACAAGTCTTGTGATTATGATAAATCATGGAGAATATCTAGGTATGTAACTAATTACTGATTTAGAGCTGGCTTGCTGAATGCTAGGGGAGGACTGTCTTCGAAGGTCCTGCAATCTTTCAAGTCCTCAGACGATTGTGGAAATCGATCGGAACACTCGATCTAGTTCGAGTACGAGGCATCAAAATTGCTATTCATCGAACGCTCGTTCTCGAAACGGCGTGCCAGAATATCAGATCGCCACGTAATGCTTCAGGTGCGAATTCTACATCGTAAGTTTGAATCTTCTCAGAATCCCGTTGAACCTCTTCCGAGGTTTGCTTTGCATTATGAACTAAATCGAGGACTTCGTTGGTCCGTTTTGGCATCGCCAACCGTGATAACAACACGTGACTATGATTTGAACTTCGGGATCCAGTGCTAACGCGAAGTGTGTTCCAGCCAGCCCACGGCTATGTTCGATTTGAGCCAAGTCTTCGTCCGAATCGCTGAAGCTCCTGTCCGATGGTCTCGGCATGCCCACATCCGGAGATTCTATGGAAACGGCTAATCTTCGAATTCTCGCTGTGAAAGTTTTTCCGCTGATCGTTATGTGGGCCAGAGCTCGCAACACTTGAATTCTGCAATCAAACTTCTCGCTCGATTTTACGATTCGTCCGTTGCTCAGCTTGGTGCTCGTTGTGCGCGCTCTGACTTTCGGTCGTGTACTTCTGATCGGCTCGTGACACCATAACGGTCTCACTAACGCTCAGTTTGACCGCAGGACGATGAGCGATCACAATTCCATAGAAAGTCAGCAGCTGCCGAACAATGCTATCACCTCTTGGACGATAGATCTGAGGTTTCGACTTCCTACCTCCTCTAACATGAGTTCAAAAGTCGATCAGACTTTTGAGTTTCAGATCATTTCTTGCAGACTTCTGCTCTCCAAGAGGCTTTCGAGAGCGCAGACAATCTCTGGCGAGATAATCTCGTGAGAACATGTCAGTGAGCGGCATCTTATATGGCTTTCGGATGACAAAATTTCAGAGCAGAACGAAAGCAAGATCTTCGTACGTGTGTTTCTGTTCGATCGTGACATCTTTGTACCTTCAAGCAGGACAAAGCCATCGGCTGCAGACCCAGACGGGGAACGAAGTTCCGATCTCTGATCTTCGATCATCGAGATCCGAAGCGTGTTGAGAGGCTTGAATTACGAGCGACAGATTAGAGTGGGAGTGAGCAAACAGAGCGGTATTGGGAACGATCTCGAGGTCCGTCATGGGCAGCGCTCGCCGCCTCGTGATCAACTGGGCCCGGCGTCATGCAAGATTGGTTCACAACACATGCAGGGTTGTGGTCTCGATCCTGCTCTTGCTGGTTGCGTATATGTCCTTCTCTCGCGTGATGGTGCAAGACTTGACCAAAGATCTTCTCCACGCATCGAGATCGGCACTAGGACGGCAGATGGGGCATGGACCCCTGGACAGTAGGAAACCATGGCACGATCCGGCTTGGGTCACGAGAGTGAGACAATCCGGCAACCCTCCGAGGGCCGGGGGCTTTTCTGTGCTAGTCACTGGTGCAGCAGGCTTCGTCGGCTCGTTCACCTCGCTCGCCATTGCGAAGAAAGGCTGGGGAGTGGTGGGACTCGATAACTTCAACCACTACTACGATCCAGCTCTGAAGCTCACCAGGGAGAAACTCATGCACAAAAATGGCAGAATTTTCGTCGTGCATGGAGACATCAACGACGCGGACCTGATCCGCGCGTTGTTCCACATCGTTCCTTTCACGCATGTGCTGCATCTGGCGGCTCAGGCAGGAGTGCGGTACGCCAAGGAAGATCCCATGTCATACGTGCAGAGCAACGTCGCGGGCCTCGTGAGCGTGCTGGAGGTGTGTGCACGAGCACGCCCGCAGCCAGCTTTCGTCTGGGCATCGTCCAGCTCCGTCTACGGACTCAATTCCCACTATCCCTTCTCGGAGATCGACCGGACCGATCAGCCCGCGAGTCTGTACGCAGCGACGAAGAAAGCCGGCGAAGAGATCGTCCATGTCTACAACTATCTGTATGGCTTGTCGGTCACCACTCTGCGCTTCTTCACAGTCTACGGACCGCTCGGCAGGCCCGACATGGCGATCTACAACTTCACCGAGAGCATTCTCAGCCAGACCCCGATCCAAGTCTACCGAGGGCCCAACAACACCGCCGTGGCCCGCGACTTCACTTATATTGGCGACATCGTCAATGGAATCATGGCTGCGGTGGAGACCGCAGCCAAGAGCACAGGGTACAAAGACCATGGCAAGACCAAACGGAAGGCTCGGCCGGCTCAGTTCCGAATATTCAATCTCGGGGGCAACCGACCTGTGACTGTGGACGAGATGGTCACTATGCTGGAGAAGACCCTGAACAGGACAGCCATCAGACTTTATGAAAGCATGGACGGCACCGGGGACGTGCCCTACACCGCAGCAAATTTGACCTTGGCCGAGAAACATCTCGGATACTCCCCGCGAACCAGTCTCAAAAAAGGCCTCAAGAAGTTTGTTTTGTGGTACCTTAAGTACACTTCTCGAAATCGAACCCCCAAGAATTCATCTCCAGCCGGAGAACCGAGTGATCCAAGCCCGGCAGCAGGGCCTCAGCTAGGCTTGATCTAGAGCTCATCAGTACTCACTTTGGCTTCTACGCTACACGCAGTGCTTTCTTACGTGAGCTACTTGTGAGCAACTCTTGTCCCCACAACCCCTGCTGCACACAAAGTCCGTGGCGGCCTCGGTTCAGGTGCTTCAGTGATCATCGCATTCAGAATTGAGAACTCGTTAGCAGCCCGTAGGATTTCCTGCTTGGTGGGAAAACATTCGGGCTTTCTGATCTCACCGACCACGGTGTACCCCATGTTCGTGCTTTAGACTTGTGAGTTACAATGGGGAAGTCGCGCGAGATCGACTCTGTGGCGCAATGCAAACTTGCAGTACATGCGTTGGTTTATTTTCTCGACCAGAGGAGGTCGGCCAGCTGCAGGCAACTTGCAGTGTAGGTATGTAGCTAACCGGTAATCATGGTCTGTATAATTGTGAATCAGTGGAGGAAAACACGGTTATTAGCAATTTTCTCACACCTGAAGCTAGCTCTTAGGCGAAGCTGGCGAGACAATTGACAAGTCGGGCGACATTCACAGCGAACATTGAAAAGTCGTCGGCCTGCACGGTAGGTAGTTTGAATTCCAAGTTTGGAGGAAGACCTTGGAAGGTTGAGTAAAGCCATGGGTAGAACTCATTATTAGAGTGATCCCCATGGCATTTGAGGGCATTATTCATGTCAAATGAAATAATATCGTCTTCCTCGCTGCAATAAATTATATTTAGCACTTCACAAGCATACTAGTCCTTTATGTGTAGTATTCTTGATTCCCTAGAGACAACTGGAAGTAATCTTCAGCCTCGTCGACCACGTGATGCGCAGTCCACCATCTGATGTCAGGGAAGTCTCATCGGTTGAACTTTGATGCCTATCCTCATGAAAGATTGGGTTTTGAATACACGACCATCTGTTGAAAGATGTCATATCTGTGCATGCTTGAAACATTGATACGGCACATTTCCATCTCTCACATTTTCGTGCGTGCCCCACGATGCAGGCCCAGCGCAATGTCTGTATATCGCTAGTCAAAAGCAGTCTGTTTGCATTGTGTTCAATTGAATATAGGAAAATAAAAGTATTCAGCAGCACGCAGTATCCGTGACACCGCTTATGCTGACGCTTGATAGTGCTGAATCCAGATCGAGAGGTTCGCGAAATCTCAAACTACCGTGAGGTGTATAGTAGACATATCATGATCATGACTCCTTTAGCGTCACCGAACAGTTTCGAGCTCCTGTCTGGACGACACAGATTCTAGGAGATGGTACCGAGTCCGAATGATCACCGGTTGCACCGTTTAAAGGTCTACGACCTTGGTGTTCAACCAAACTGTCAGTTCGAGCCCATTCTTAACAATTTCTGGAAGTGTTCTTGGGAAGGGCAATATTGTTTTGGCCGTGGACTCAACCTCATCCCCAGCCAGTCTGATGCAAGACTCACGGTATATCAAAAGACCTCAAAACGAATTTCGCGCTGCAGAATTGAATTCTGATGAGTTCCCGCAGAAGAAAGGCGCATGTTTTCTTTTTCTATCCGGAAGATGGATTCGAGTCTACGTAACGTATACGAACGATATTACAATTGCAGGAAATGATTGTATCTCTGCCTTCTCCATGAGTAGAAAGAAAACAACACATTGAAGCGAACATATTCTGACAACGGCTATTGTCAAAATACAGGACCCTTCAGCAATTTCTTCGCAATTTTCCCGAGCGAGAACAGCGGCACTCAATGTATTATGAACTGACAGGAAGATTTGAGATCATCGAGGGGTGTTTCCCTCTTCCATGAACAGATTGGATATTCCGTTGCCAACAACGGATCAATCATTTTATGGGAGGTGTGTAGATGAACCTACTTGCATCTTGCTAGGACGAGAACTACTCTGGCTCGATCTTCTGTGCAGAGAGGGAGCGGGGAGTTAGTTGTGTCCCCGATCTGCTTACTAGTCTGAAAACAAGCTCAGCGTATTCAGCTGCAGATTCCAGTTATGGCCACACGCTTAGACTTCAAATTGCGGCCTCCTCGAGCTCAAAAGCACAGGCATCGGAGGGCTGTAGAAGTCCGCACATAGGGCCGTAGGAATACATGCTTCCAGTTGTATCGGCTTCTAGAGAATCCGGGCAGGTGTGTCCCAGAACGTGGGATATCCAGACGAAGGCGTGCTCCATGCATTACTGCATGCATGGCTTTCATCTCCACGTCCCTCGCATGCCGTGGGCTAATGCGCTCATGGGCTGATGTGCTGAGTTCGCTCGATAAATTTCTTGCGTTTGGTCTTGGACTGAATTTCCGCGCGAGTGGGTGACTGATTTCGTTACAGACGTACGCAACTTCGCACCATTTTCACCTGCTGGTCAGTCAGAGCACAGACCGCGGCAGAATAAGTTGGGTTTATGGATGATACCCAAGAACCCCACGAGCAGATTGAGCATCAAATGCAAATAATGAGACCACGAATTAGACGTCGAATAATTGCGAACAGGTCTTGGACTTTATCTCCTTCGAAGCTTGAAAAAACAAAACTTCTGGATTAGTGCACGACAGACATTGAAGAGCTAGCTCTCGACGCTTGCTTGTTTCCTGCGATGTTTACTCAGGCTACACAGCACTCCATGCAAAAGTTCTGAAGGTCCCTCGAAGGTCGTCGTTACGATTCCTCCCGCGTGCAGATGGTTGCTCCGGGACTTCCGATGCAGCGAGCGGTCATCCTGCAAAAGCCCAGCGTTTGCATTTCGCCACCGTAGTCTTTAAACATGGCGTACGTGAGTCATTGAGGTCCTTACACACAGCATGAGAATCTCAATATATCATTGATTCTGCCCAGAATCGGCGTCGATAATCTGTAAAACTGAATCGTTCAAATCCGTCGAGGTGCCATTCTTACGCCTCGGAGTTTCCGTGTTCTGGATGATTGTTCGTTCATCAACTCCGTAATCAAAGCAGCCAGTGAAATTGAAAGTGCTCGGAGTATTCAAATGTGCACATGTTGTGCCTGATCAGTGCTGTACATCATACGAATGAAGCCGACGTACATGCTTATCCGACTTAACTTCCGCTCTTAATTCAGCTGCGACCATTAGCACTGAAGGTGATTTTAGGATCTTAAACCTCTTGGTGTCTACACGTGCAGCAGCCCTATCACATACAGCTGTAAAAGAAAGCCTTGCCCGAATCATGGAATGAAATACATGAACCCTCCAACATTATTCGTCAGTTGTATTGTCAATCATCTAGATATAACACAATACGCATGGCGCAGTACAATACACACACAGTACGTATTCAGCACCGTCCGAGTTATTCTCAACCTGTACTATCGTTGCTTGTACCACTGCCATGATTCCTCCCTACAGCTACGATCAGCGTGAGAGCGAGCGCCAAAAAAGCCTTCAAGTCCAACATTCAATGACCAGACCGAGATCGAAGAGCATCTTCCGTTAGGTTTGGGTTAGTGTAGCGGGTTGACTAATCGCGTCCAAACCTACCCTGCGATGGCAACGAGAAGAAAATCTAGAGTGGGTGAAGATTCCGAAGCCTCAGATTGAAACGAATCCACGAGACCTTCATTCCTACAGGAAACAGTGCAGCTGAACTGGGCTGAGTTAGAGGGAGGAGGAGGAGGAGGAGAGATGTTCAGCTCGAACCATCGGAAATCAAGCCAGCGAGCAAAACGATGGAGGCGACTGACTGCGAGAGAATCTGGCAAAGTCAGAACTCCGGAGAGTGAGTCGAGCTTGTCGAATGACGTCGAGCGATGATGATGGCCTGGATGAATGGCATGGCATGGCATGTATGCAGCTTCGGATGATCACTCATTCCTTCACATCCACGTCTCTCTGCAATGCACCCCCATGCGCATGCTTTTCGAAGGTTGCGAGGCTTGCATCCCGCGGCGGTCGACACGTGGACAGACCACCGGAACGTGTTTGGGAGAAAACCCTATCACTTGCGGTGCGACACGTGTCGATCGTTGACCTTGTAGGAAGAATTTGACCGCTTCGAGAGAGAGAGAGAGAGAGAGGGAGGGGGCAGGGAAGGGAAGGAGGGGAGGGCTTTGTACCATACAGAGGACAGCGACGTCGAATGTTCATGGTGATCCACACAGACGGCACACACAATCTCACTCCCTAACAGCCCGAGCTCTCGCGGGAATTGCATTCGTACTGCTGTGGGGTATCGTGTGTGCATCCATTACTTCTTCGGGGTTTTCCTTGTCGAATCCGAGATTCCCTCGTTTGCTTCTTCGCTGTATTTATTTCTGCCTCCCGTAGATCAAACCAGTGCTCGTCGTCTACGCTCGTCTCTTGATGCCGCATCGCGGCGAATACCGGACTTTCTAAAGTATTACTTTGCTTCGTCTTTTCCATTGAAGTCTCATGCTTGTATACGTGTAGAGTACATGGATCGGGTGTGTAGCATCATTGATCAAGCTTATCAGGAACTCTTGGAACTTTATGAGATGGAAAGGACGCGCATTACGAGTTAGCGACCGGGAAAAAAGTGTTACAACTTCAAAGCTGGAAGGGATGGTTCGAACGCCCAGCATTTAATCGAGCATGCATACAAAACGTTACGTACTCATCCATGTTCCTTGTGAGAGATTGAACCCTCGCTCCGGGGTATATTGTTAGCATTCTGGAGGGTGTTCTTTCCATGCATTGGTTCAGGAATCCAAGCATAACCGCTCCCTTTCTGCACATCAACTGATCCGTCCACTCGCGTTCTAAAACCTGCCCTCGAATAGGGAGGTTGTGTATCACTTGCTTCCAAATGTGGAACGATTAAGAGAATCTGAAGCAACCGAACGTTGTGGAAGAACGTGTGAGGAACCGCCACTCCATGCTTTCGCTTGTCTTCAAGGGACCTTGGACCTTGAACACCATTTGATTCATGACCATTTGCAATCACCGCTTCTATTCTTTTGTCATATGCATGAGATTCAATTTCTTCTTCATTTTTAGGTTAAAGAAGTCATTCGACTGAGTAATATCATAATGACCAAGTACAAGCTGGTGAAGTTAAGATATGTCATAATAAGATAAGTGCGATGGAAACACCCAGCGGATGCGTTTGCTCCTTCTCTTGTGAGCGATTGCAACACCCAGCCAGCGTTCGTTGAGCCCGCAAGCTGAATTTGGAGACCCGGCAACTTCTCTTCGTTGCGGTGTCATGAAAAAGATAACCCTTAGCCAAACTCAAAGCGAAAAGGAACATACCGTGCATGATGAGCAGAGATGCAACAAGCAAGATTACGGAGCAAAGAAATAACCACAAGTTCTAAGAACCCGAGGTGACGTAGTACTCTTGACATGATCTCTGAGCAAGCCGACAACAGGTCAGCATGGTTAACCTCCAGAAAGAGAATGATTACTTTAATGCCACTTCTCCTCCTTCTAGTCCTCATCCTCCATCCCAAAGTGTACCCCAAGTCCCGAATTCTCTCCCACCCCGCCAACAACAGGTACAGTACCCATAGCGGAATGACCGGCATCGATTCTTGGGATCTTCAATGCAAAAGCGTGCTACGCATCGAGCGGCTCGCGCCCTGCTGCTTCGACAAATCACTCGGTCTTTCAAGACGAAACCACGCTTTGTTCGTCTTCGTGAACCGTCCTAGAAAATCTGGGAAGAGAAAATCAAAAATCAACAACGAAACAAACGAAAACACCAGGAAGCCGGAGACTTGCGTGACGAGGAGCTCGGACGACGTAACAGACGACTGTGAGAGTGAGGATTGTCCAGGACAAGCAAGTGGATTCTGATTGAAAATCGACGTCATGATGACATTCCAAGCTGTTGTCATAAACCTCTCCAGAACAATTTCTCTTCGAAAGCTCCTCCCAGAATTGAAGTCATGTCTTATTTGGACTATAATCCATGCGATTCTGGTTCACGTTCGTGGCGATCCAAACCAATCTCCATTCTGACAGCCCTTCGAAATTACAGTCTCGTCACCAAAAGACAAATGGCCTTTACTTTCCCAGATATGCACCGGAAATACTTCGCATCCACCATCAATGTGGCATCCCTCGAATATTCCTAGCATAGATACTGTATCCATCCCAACCCCCAAAGCTTTCTCTAACCCAGGTTCCGGACTTAGAGTAAGCTTCTGCTGAACCCTGGTTTAAAGTACAGGAGAGTAGCTGGCATCGTCGACTGTGGAAGACAATGACTTTTGGTTTTCATTCCAAGTTCGTCCTTGTGACTTGTGCCTGATGGACATTATCTGATCCTTCGATTTTTTGGGGAATGTTAACAAGGTCACATCCAACGACCACAGAAGACTCTCCTGTCAAAAATTGGACTTTCACACACAAACCCAAATATCATCTCAGTGTGTTTGTTGCATATATGCAGAAAACACAATCAAACATACACACATACTTCTACGTACACACTTCAAGAACCATTTGTTGTATTGAACATCCATATGCATCCTACCATTTTTCACGTCCAATAGTTTCTTAATGTGACGAATCTAATCGACGTGACCGTCGATAAATGAACCTGAACTCATCCATTTTTGTTTTCCATAGAGGGGATTCTCCTATGAGGAGGCATGACGTAAAAGAGTCCCACTTGACGAGTAAGAGGGTTTTACACAGAACAGAATTGAAGGCAGGGAGGTCTGTTATTATAGGGCAAAGGTGAATGGACGTGTTGTTTATCACGAATTTTTGTTTCGCTGCTAGGTCTCCTCAATTAAACCACAACTCCTAGTACAAGAAGCTTGGGGCCCACATCTTCCCATTTCATTATGAAGACTTGTACACACTAATCTCACCTGAAACTTTGGATGCTTGCCTACAATGGTGAATACCAGTTAGATAAACTCGCATAACGTTAGTGCATTGATGATCTACAAAATGCATCTCTTTTCATTTGAGAGTGATAAGATTAAGAGATAAAAGTGCAGAAGTTTTTCATGCAGATACATATTAGACTGCAGAAGTCTATCATATACTTAAAATGTATGTACATGTGTTTTCAGTTTATAATACACAAATTGTTGAGGCAGTTTAACTCTTATGATCATACTTATAAGACCAAAAGATTGCCACACAATATTGTTATGCATTGAAAAACATTTCTTTTATATATCATATTCACTTGACCTCGCATGTACATATCAACATGCTTTTTAAACGTAGTCCCGTTTGCCCTATCCTTCGATAGCTAAAGGATTATGATATAATCCTATCAAGTCTCGCTTCTATAGTGCAACCAATTAATCCTTTGCATTATTCTCTTTCCATGAGCATGGCTAATGACATGAGAGAGCCATCGATCTAAAATCTATATTAAAGTATGAAAATCTTTCAGATAAATCTTTTTTTTCACAGCTCTTTCTAGAGCTTCCAATTGTATATAGTTATGTCAAATTGTATGTTTTACTTTGAAAACGTATATAAAGATAAATTGAGTCTCTTTGTTCTTATTAATCATGATTTTGTTTCAGTTTACTTCAACTTGTAGTCTTGAACGTCAAGAATTCAAAGTGTAACTTTAGTCTTTCCTCAGTTTACAAACCAAAAGGAGATTTATAATATCTATTGAAGACTTGAAAATTTTATGTGTCTATTGGATCAAAAAAAAAGTGTATCATGTTATATAGATTTTACATTTTGTTTACTATATAATGCATATAGTAATTTGATTAAAAAAAATGAGACTTTAGGTCAAAAATGATCAAAGCTAAGTGTAGACAACAAGGATATTAAGTTTAGATTAGACTTGGAAAGTATAATGGATATGGATAGGATGAATAACATTTTAAAAATGAATACTGTAATACAAAATGTAAGATTTTCTATAGTTAACGATTCAGAGATGGATAGTTATTTCATAAAATAAAAATGTCATACAAAAAATAAAAAATAGCAGTATTGAAGCTAAGTCTCTTTGTGAATAGCATACAATGTCTTCGTTTGATTTTTCTTAATTGATCACAAAAAATTTGATATATATATTGTGGTGAGAATAAATTTCTCCATACTTGATTATTCTACTCATGTAGTTTACATTGAGTCTACATTTTTTATTATTATTTTGATATAATAAATATGGATTTAAGTTTGTCAAACTTTTTAGTTATAAATATTTGAGTTTGGTTCCATTGCTTTTGCTATCAGAAAACAATACAAAAAATTTTAATATTAGCAAATTTTAAGAATGACTACTACTTTCAATTCATAAATTTTTCAATATCAATTTTCTTAACACATATTTTGACAATTCACAACTTTGAAATTAATCGAACAATTATTCAGATTATGTCTGAGCATAATTTTGTTTGCATAATGTAAATTCAAAATCAAAGTAAACAAATGTTGGCTTTACTGTAAAGAAAATCTCAATTTTGGTCTGATTAGTGAAAAATTTTGCATCAAAAAAATTCATTTTATCTATTTTAAAAAAAACTAGAATCTTTATTATCTTCTTTAGAATATTGTGACAGATTTGAACATCAATTATCACTAAACCCATTGACTAATTTAAAATTAGATCATATGAATGGATTATATTTTTTTATGATTTTTATGACACAAAGTTAGAATGTAAATTAAAACCAATATGCACATTTTAAAAATTATTATGAAATTCATGACATTTAATTAATGTGTATATGTTAGAAAAGCCTAACAAATAAAAAATCAAGATGTCAATATGGACAGTTTTTTATTGATATGTAAAAATATGTAATTAGATATTTTTCAATTTTTAAGAAATTGAAAATTTCCAAACATTTTGAATTTTTTAAAAAAATTCATTTTGTGTAAAATTATTAACCTCTCCAAAAATCCTGTTGTTTCTATTTCAACTTTTACACGGATATTGTACAAGATTTTACTCTAAGATCAAGCTTAGAGATTAAAACATAGTACGATACAACTAAACGTTTGATATGAGCATCAATTAAAAAGTTTGATGTGTTTTATATACTTCGGTCATCATTAAAACCATCCGTGACTAAATGGATGAAATATTTCTTTAAATCAAAAAATGACATGCATACATTTGAGTATTGGTCGCAAATTCTAGAAGCAGCAAAGTTTCCACAATAAATAGTCATCAATTTAAAACAAGAAAAATAAATATGTATTTGAAAAAAATAATTACATACAATTTTATTATAGAACAGCCCAAAGCAAATTTAGAACAAATTTATTTGATGCAAATTGTTGATAACAATAAACAATCTTTTGGAATATAATGAAATATTTGAACATATAATGTTTCAAATGGTTTTCATATTCATATGAAGCAATCTTCAAAAACTTACTTAAGTTGAATAATTATTGCCAAATATTTATAATTTCTTCAAATCTTACAATACAAAAATAAAATGTGCTTTAGTATCAGTTGAGTGCTTCAAATCTAGTCTTAATACATTTACTAGCAAATGTAGAATAAATTTATATTAAATTGAATATAAAGTCAAACCATAATATAAAATCATTTACATAGCTTAAAATTCATTTTAAGTTTTTTTTAAATATAAGTAATTTCATTCATAGAGATTTATTTCAATTACATATGAAAAATTCACCATAATAAATATAGAAATTCCTGTTTTAAATCATGTTGAATGTTATAATGTGAAAGGATTGTATTTAAAGATTTCTTGAAATATGAAAGAATATTATTTTCATATATTATTAAGACCAACAGATTTAGAATACAAGATGTTGATCACAAAGGAAAATATTAATGATTCTACTAAATTCACTAACATTTTACATAAACCATCTTTCTTTCATATATCCATCATGATCATGTCATTTTTTATCTTTTACATATCAATGTTACATTAAGATACTGAAACGTATTCATGTATGTTTGTGATACCTTATGAGAGAATAGTATGAGAAATTTTTTCCTTCATTCAAAAATTACCTTTTAAATAATATTTTACATAAATGATATTTTATCAACTCTATAAATAATTAATTTTTTTTTCAAGATAAGGTCATCTTTTTATGCCAGATAATGTACTTATCCATATATTATATTATATTGGGACTTTAAAATGTATACATTGTAATATACCATCAGTGTAATATTGTCAAAACAATCTATCTTTCTATTCCAGGTTTTTAAATCATATGCTTTTACTTATAACTTTTGTTGAAATTTTCTAAGGATTATTTTTCATTTTACCTTGTACTCTATCTTCAGTTTACTGTATTTTTGTAGACACTTCAACTTGAGTTCATTTTTTTTGTTTTTGATCGTCTTCATTTTCCATTTAACAAAGCTAAAATTCTAGATTTATGATTTAGAATAAATCGGAAATTAATTTATTATGACTATTGATCTCAATTACATAAAAAATAAAAAAATATATATTTTTTATAAATTTAGTTAGATCTTAAAATTGTACACTCTTATATAGACATTGAGAGTTTTTAGAATGGACTCGGTCTTTTTGAATAAAAAATGAATATCTTCATATTTTTATTTAATCAAAATTTTAAAACATGTCATTTGATTGTTTTATTTATAAAATAATTAATATAAATACGATATCTTATTTGATGGAATTATGAAAAAAAGTTTATGGAGATTTTTTGTATCTAGCTAGTTGAATTATGTGATGTTTTTTTGAATTTTTTATGGATTTGAATATCTAGTGATGAAGAAAGTTATTTTGATTGAAAAAAAAAGAAGACTTATTAATATTATTTTCATTTTTTACTTTTTTTATTTTACATCTTTGTGTGTGTGTTTAATCAATATACAGAGTTTTGTATGAAATTACATGAAGTGTTCTTTGTATTTAACATTTTGAAATATGAATAATTTTATAATATGTAAACAAATATTTTTTTGTGTGAAAAAACTCCCAATAAAATGAATAAAATTATTGACAAAATAAAGTAATATTATTGATATCCCTTTCATTAAAATGAATATTTTAAGTTTTTTTCAGGATTTTTTGGAATTATTTTATCTAGATAAAATTATCTTGTAATTTTTTCAATATTAACTTTTTTTTAATAGATTGATTTATTTTCCAATCATTTAACAACAAGGCCTAAAATTCTAAATTTTCAAAATCAATGATTATGCATCACATGATAGTGAAGATTAATTTAAGTTGAAGTTATCAATTTGTCAAAAGAGCAAATGAAAACATGACAGAGATTATTTATTAAATTTATAAGATTAGATTTTTTAACTGAGGTTGTCGTGCAAACATGTATCATCATACAATCTACATCGTTGACATGACATGACATACTCTCACACACATACAGAGAAAATGAGAGTGTACACATACAAAAATATCATAACTATTTTCAAAAACTCTATATTTTCTTACGAGAATGACCACCAACCATATTAACATTAACTAGAAATAACATGTGTATATGTCACAAGATTGAAGTATCAATATTTTGATTGATTTGTTCTTAAAAGTAGAGGAAATCATGTGTTAATTTATTTTTTGATCTAGAATTGATTCTTTTATAGTACATTACTTTTTTTAAGCAAAATGTGTACTATGTTATATTTTCTAGAATATCGCATCAATAATTTTGTAATATTTTAGAGATATTATTTGAATACTCACATTCATGGATGTTAGTTAAAACTTCATAGCCAAGTATCTAACTATAAGCGATGAAGATCGTGTAATCCAAGAGATAATTGCTTGATGAGAACCCCGAAAAACTCAAATTACTTGATGAGACCCAATATGTTTCACTTTATCCGATGGGATCCTAGTCAACGGCCATGCAGGTCACCATCAGACATTTTATAATGAAAGTTCTTATAAACTGATCATTTTAGTTGTAGTGCGGATAGTGTTTGTCACTATCGGGCCAAAATAATTTCTCCATTGAGATTAATTTGGGGACTCGTTCGACCGCACCATGATGCTAAATACTCCCCATAGCGTCTTGCCATATCTGCATATGAAAAAACACAGAGAACTTCCTACTTGGATATAAACTCCAAGGAAACTTTGTGCTTGACAACGGGAGCTAGGATCTGAATTGAGCCGAATCACGTATGGAATGTCAGCCCGAACAGACCGATTGACATTTGTTGCCTTTCAAGATCGATGAATCTGGGTCCGTGTTCCAAGGTGAATGAGTTTAAATTTCAGACGGCGGGTAAGAGTCAGAGGTAGATGTGAGACTCTAGAGGAAATACCAGAAGCCAGAGTATGGGACACTTGGGTGAGCAATGTGTTTCCGATGCTCTACGATTTTGCCTTTCATTTGCAGGGCCTCCATGAGAACATTCATAACCTCTTCCATATCTGGACTCTCCAACTGCCCAACAACGTTGTTGGGCAGAATGAACAACAGCGCCAATCTTGTCACTAGTAGCACTACTTATGGCCCAACAAGGGATCCACAATGGTGTAACTTGTAATATTAGAACATCGTCGACGGTGTGCCGTTGAGTAGGGTACCATAGGGTAAAATGAAACCTATTGGGTCACATCAAGTAATTTAAGTTTACTGGTTCCATCAAGAAATTATATACTAATACAAAAAATATTACTACACTAGGAAATGATATATAACAATATCAGTGTTGTTTGATGCATGACGTAATTTTCCTTGTGCACCCATCGTGCAAACGTCCCTCCTACTCGTTTCATTTATGTAGATTTATTTGGAATGCGTGTGAATAATATTAAATCAATAGAAAATATCGAAAGTTCTGTTTTCCAACTTTCTCTCTCAATTTCAGACTTTTATAGTTGTTGTGTTGATATTAATCGACATATATTCATCTCCGATAATTACGTTATAATAGTATGGTTGAATGCTAGTGATATTGCTAGGCTGGACTTTTTTAACATCAAATGTCATTGACAATGACCTTGCAGTGCATGGTTGGATTGTTAGAATCGAGACATGGTTGACGTAGCCCAACATCGTGGATAGTGTACGTGGTTGACATTGGATACCTCGATGGGCAATCCAGTGGTTACACGTACGGCGCCCATTAACTCACCGATCGCGAGGAAAGAGCATGGAATGTTAACTTACCGAGGAGAGGGCAAGAACTTACGCACCGTAGGACATCGACGCGAATTTCCCAGATACGGGGTTTCTCAAACGACTGCGAAAAGCTCTGGGCACAGTTGAGGTACCGATGGAAAGAAAGCATCTGCTGTCGCCCCATCAGTGCTTCCACTGGCTCTCTCTCGAGCAGGCAGGATGTTACCTCGATGAGGTATCTTATGCCATGATATTCTTAACACATACATAGCCGACAGCCGTACGCCCCGCATCTTATCATCTTTCGGGTGTGATTACTGTCACGTGTCTGTTCGAGTCCATATTTCTTCCTCATTTTCAAATGAGCCATGGGCATTTGATCTATGAATAGCTTGCGTACCATCACTTTCCATGTATGATATGCTGAATGATGCACCATGACGCTGTTTCATGCATGCCTTTTTATCTTTTCGTGTCCGGGAAGAATTCATAATTCGACCTGCTGCAGCCGGTCTTCCATCCACGAAGGGATGAAGTAAAGGGCCAAAATGTTACATAAAGGGAAAAGAGAAGTAGTTGGGCTTTTCTGTTGGGTAGGGTGGAAGAAATAAATAATTTAACGAAAAGAAAAAGCGATCTGTTGGCCGAGATGGTTCGAAGGAGAAGCGGACGAAAATTTTTGGTCGATGCAAATAATCCATCGCCGAAAATATTATCTATTGTGGGTGTCAAGAACCGGGACTCGGAGAAAAGTTGTAGTGATCTGCTAGATGAAGACAAAGTTGATTTCCAACTCGTTTCCGCAATAAAAGACTTACATATCGACAAATGAAGATACCGTCCGATAGAAAACGGTTGGTTTTCAATTACTAAGTCAAAACAAAGCATATATCTTATAGTGAGATATGACCCAAAAATACAAGATATTGAATCTTCGAGAAAAGAAATCGTAGGCCAAACTAAACTTCGTCATATACATGGCGCCACTGGGAATGTAAGCGTCGACTAACTGAGATTGTTCGGTAACAAGGTAAGTCAGAAAGAGAACCGTATTTAGAATTGGTTCAGGTCATATTATAGAGCCTGTCACAGGTCGCACGGATGTGTCATGACACTGCCTCCATTCATGCGAGAGAGCATACGACGAACATGGAGGGAAATTATTCTTCCTCGATGAGCCCTTTAACTAATGTTCTTCTGTGGCCAGAGTCCCCACACTCTCCCTCCATTTAAACTCCCCGGGTTGGTGTGCACTGAACATTCCGACAACTTTAAATTTCAAATGCTGTTTCGTTCGTGTACAGTGCCATTTCGCCAAACCCTAAACGGTCAGCCCCGAGGTCTTCGTCTCCTCCTTTCCACTTTCACGGAATCCATGCTCACTCACTGCTGCCGCTCGCCCGCTCGCTCGCTCGCTCGCTCAATGCACGCCCACCTCCCTCTCCCTCTCTCTCTCTCTCGTCTGGTGGTCCGGCTGGCGCTTGGACACTCTTCCACAGCTCACACGAGTGGCTTTCGAGAGGGAAACAGTCTCTTCCTTCTACAGTACTGTATGTATAACCTTCGTAAGTGTTTCGAACGCTACATCGATTTGATTCTTTTGCTCCTGAATTCGATGCAGATAAAATCCTGAAGAATGGTTAGTTCTTGGATGAATGACAATGTTTTTCTTTCTACTTCTAATTTAACCACAGAAGAACTTCAACTCCGATATCAGTCACATTATTAACTTCCAGATTGAGTTACCGGTGGTATTTTTTTGTTTTACAGTCGTACTATAAATATTTCTGTCAGTAGAAGAAAAAACGTACTTCTGAGACGTTCAAAAGAAGAAGATTGTTAAGAGGAATGCGAAGAGACTGAAATCAGTACAAGATTTTTGTAGAGGATAAAGAAACACATTTCATATACCTGTATTAGAATCGACGGATGCTAAACATGCGACCAATACTTTGCTTGTTGTCGCTCTTGAGATCCATTTCAAGATTTTTAAGGTGTTGACGCTACATCTCTTATCATTATTTCGATGAAATTTATATAAAAATGGAACGAGAAATGTATTTATGATTCAAAGATGATAATCTTTTCTATTTGAGAGAGAGAGTATATATATATGTATATACGTACATATATACTTCCAATATGCTTTCACTTTTTTGGATTATCCAGCGACTTACAGGAGATGTAATTATGTATAATTGATGGTATAATATAAAACTAATCATTATAAAAATTGATCATATCTTATTGATTTGTTAAAACTTTGGCATGATCCAGGTGTATGTTTTTTACAGAGATTTGCCTAACTTTTCTCCCATCTAAATGTGAATGCAATATCAAAGGTTCAAAATATTGATGTTTGATGTTTCGTTCCAATATCAACGGTATATATTGAATAATAGAGAGTTCATTATTTTTTCGTTGAAAGAATGCACAAAAGCTTACAGTACTAGGTGACACGAGTATCATTCTCTATTCTCTTTAGATAAGTGACTGTTTTTTGCAACACATATTCAATATGTTATTTTCCACACAACACCAATATACTAGATAGAATGAAAATCGCATTAATTGATGAATCTCCTAAGGGTAAATTGTTCACAGTAGGACTGCAGATAGTTAAACTATCTGCAGTCCAACTGTTGTAGTAATTTTTTCCACTGTGATGATATTGCGGGATAGCCTTATCTCTCTCTTTTGGTCGCATCCTTTGAGACATTGATGGTATCTTCCAACCTTTTTTCTGCATATTTGTTACCTCTGTTTCTGAATATTTACTTTTCCAAAAAGTGAGTTTGTCACTTTAACATGACTAGAAAGCAATATATCGAACTTGGATTTCTCCGTTCATATTCTACGATGTAGCATAATCATCAAATCACGGAGTCAATTTTCAACTATTATTTGCATTGTTCATTGAATCTGCAAGGATCCATGCGATTGACTTTTATCCTGCGCACAAGCTACTTACCAATAAAACTCCACGTTCAGATCTTCTTGCGAGAAAGGAAGGTAGGAATTACTGTATTCGTGCTGCAAACCGCGACACCGAACTACCGTCAACAGGTTACAGTACTCAAGAGTTTTGTAGGTACGAATTGGAAATATTCGATAACCCCGGATATGGGAATCGCACTCCGACATAAGGAGCACCAAAAGTTGTCGGCCGCGATCGGCAGTCGACCCGGAATGTGGTCAATTGGGCCGGAAACCGAAGCCGGGCGCTGGCAGGAAGGAACGAGGCGAGGCCCGGCCACCTACTCTAGAGCAGCCGAGGCAGCAGCTGCTCGCGTCGATCACTCTCATGGCACCGCAGCGGAACTACAGGGCGGTAATCATGACACATACGACACGTGGACGAGATGCCAAGTGGGCGTCTGGTCCTTGGTAAGGCACAAGTCTGGGGAGGAGAACCGGGATCCGATCTGGACCTATCCTTGCGGAGGGAAAACTGCGTCTAGGGTTGGGTAGCCTTGGCGGGCGCAATGATAGGTCCGCTCCCTCCCAGGCTAGAGGAGGAGGAGGAACACCTCTAAGCCGAGGGATTCGATTCCCGGTCGCAGTTAGGTCCAGTGGATAAGAGCAAGCGGCATTACTCCCCGAGGGACTCTTCCCCTCGCGGTGCCGCTGTAATTAGAGCGCTTCCTGCGCAACTTGTAGGATCGTCGCCACTTCGGCACCTCTCACATTATCGGAAGCTCCTCGCTAGCCGACAATCCGAAAAGGGGAAAAGAATATCGCGGGCCCGGTCGGACGGTCAGCGCGCCGCTGACCACCACCCGCAGTCGCTCGGCCCGGACAGGCCCGGCCCGACTCCCGCGACACCAAAGCAGAGGCCAGGCAGGCAGGCAGGCAGGCTCGCAGGAGGAGGAGGAGGAGGAGCCCGGCCTCGAGAGGGCCAGGAGTCCACAAGTGGGACAACATGTCCCGCTACCGCACCGCACCAACCAACCGGCAGGCACATCGGCCCTCGGTCCCCCGCGGCTGGTCGAGCTCGAGGAATGGAGTTGCGGTGAAGGCCTGCGGCGATGCTGCTGCAGCAGGAGGAGGAGGAGGAGGAGTAGTTGGGAGTCGAGGTCCAGTTTTGGTTGTGTCGAAGAAGGCCTGGAAATAGATCTGGTGGCCGATCGTGTCGTGGATTACAGAGCGAGGAGGGAGGGAGGTGAGCAAGAGGGGACGTGACCGCGAAACCGCTCTACCTACCTACCTTCGGGTTCAGCTCCACTGCTTCTAGTCCTCTGCTGTGCTGCTGCTGCTGCTGCGTCCTCCTGCTCCTGCTCCCCTCCTCTACCACTGGTCCCGTCCCTGTTTGTGTCTGAGGTCCGCTCTGCTCTGGCTCGCTGTCTGGACTTTTTCTGATCTCAGGAGGGGGGGGGGGAGCCTCGCTGGTTCGCTTTCGCTTTCCCTTTCGCGGGGGTGGTCCGGGCTGGCCAGGCCTCTGGTGCAGCTTGACCGCTTGACCGCTTGCTCGGTCGTAAGCACGCTTGAGCGCTTCGCAGTTGAGCTCAGCCTCGCGCACCCGATCGCCTTTCTCTGGCTTTGGCCTGATGCGAGCGTGCGACAGAGGCCGGGGGGCGGGGGGGCCAGTGGGGCATGTTGGAAAGAAATACTTCCGCCTCAGGCGCGCAAAGGCCAAACACTGACACCAGACCTCCTTCCTTCCTTCCTTACCTCCTTTCCTCTTGCGACCTCCCTCTCTCTCTCGCTCGCTCCCTCGTCTAGTAGGTAGCAATGCCGTCTCACCATAGACAGAGCATCTAGGCATGGTGCCCTGTTGGGCCATGCTCATCAGTGACGGGAGCTGAGAAAGAGGGTGAGAGGAGGGAGAGGGAGGAGGAGGAGGAAGGAAGAAGGAGGAGGAGGAGGAAGGAGGGAGGGGGAGGGGAGTCAGCTATTTCCACCCTCTCTGTCAGGAACTCCGCGTTTGAATATCACCAGGGCGCAAACCATCTCTCGCGCACCCTCCGCCTTCCCTTCCCTTCCCGGCTCTGCCCCGCCCTGCCCTCCCTGCGCCTGCGCCTGCCTGCCTGCTGCCTTGCTTTGCTTCGCTCCGCCCCGCCTTGCCTTGTCGACCTGTCCCCGGGGGGGCTCGCGAGCCTCTCGCCTTCTTTTGCTTGAGGCGCAATCTTTGCTGCAATCCGTCCGTCTTTGCTTTTGCAGTATCCCGCTCGGCTTTTACTTGGCGACCAGTTGCTGCTCCTCGTCCTTCGGGGTGGATTCCACGTCCGGCCCCTCTCCCTGCGGCAGCTTTCCTACACATCTCGGCGAAGTACCTCCGTCGAGCCACCACTCGTCCCCTCGCAGCTGCCGCAGCAGCTGCTGCTGCGCCTCCTCCTCCTGCTCCTCCTGCTCGGCCCTCCGCTTTCGACTCCCGGTCCAACTTCTCTCGTACTATCTCATCTCCATCTTGGTCCGCCGAGGCATTCCCCGTGCTGTCTCGAGGATGTTGCGCAGGCTGTGTTGTGTCATCCCATGATCTAGCCTCTGCTGTTGGTATTCACCGCCCGCTCTTTTCGTCCTCATCACCTTCTATGGCGTAAATGTCTTCCCCTTCGCTCGTCCTTGATCCTCTCTGCGTTGCGGCGCCACTCCTCGTCGGTGCGCAAGGCCATTGTTTTCTCCCTCGTTGCTATCCCTGAATCCAGGATTTTTCCCACCACTTCCCATCCGAGCTCGTGTTGCGTTCTCGTCGTTGACCACAGTCCCTCGATTCGGATGCCTGGATTTATCTCATTCCCATCTTGGTTGTGTGCAAGAGGGGAATGAGGTGCAGAATGCACAAGTGCGTGGTTGCCTCGTCCTAGTGTGCTGACAGGCTCCGCAATAGCAAGTGCTCTGTTGTTAATATAGATCCGGACTCGGAGGCTCTTTTTTTCCAGGGCGACTCCTGTGTCATGACGGGGAAACGATGAGAAGTCAAGGACCGATAAGTGTGCTCATGCCTCGAGGAAGTTCCAGGAACGAAAGCAAGTCGTTTCCTCTATGAGACTGTCCGCGCGGGCTCGGTTGCTACGGTCTATTCGCGCATTATCGTAGCTGTGGTTGGCAGCGTCTTATCCATTACGGCGGAAGTGGTCTTCTTTCAAAATTTGCTAGGAGACTCGACTCTGCTGATGGGACCTGTAGGGCGAAGTGGGCAGAGCAGGCATACAAGCTCAAAATCTGGAAGGAATCCGTATATCTCTCGCTGGAGCTGTCATGGGATATAGTTCGAGAAGGTGGTTGGTTAAGTTGACATTACTGAAGGACTCCTTGTGGTTAAAGACAGTTAGTAAAGGAGTTTATTGGAGGGAAATTCGAATGTCCCGAACTGTTAGGGCGTAGATTCTCAGAACTACTTCGAGATACACAGTCTGGTAGCGACTGTGGCTGAGAATTCCGGTGCAGCATACGGGTACACCTGAATGGCTTCTGGTTGCGAATCAAGGCATTCGCGAGGCCAGCGCGATTCTGAAGTGGAATCAAGGGGAAGTTTTACTGAGCGACAGGTGTGTCAAGCAGCTACCATGGCATTAGGTTATCAAGGCCTATGAGTTTGTGAATGACATTAAATTAGCAATGGCTTGGACCAAAGGCGTGGCCGACTTGGAAGGACATAAAATACATGGACCTGACAAGTTGTTGACAAAAGCCAGACCTTCACCTCACGGTCCGAAAGTCATGGATCTTTTGTGGTCACTGTCAGTGCTACTTCTCTGATGTCGGATTATGCGTTAAAGGTTCATCAGGATTTGCGAGTTCGTCTAGGTATCAATCAGTCGAGTTACTGCCGAGAGTGTGAGTACTTCTATGTAGTGGACAAGTTTCCAGATTCTGTCGGAAGGTTGTGATCTCCTCTGTAATCGAGGTAAACATATCTGTTTACTTGGGCAAGGATGATTGGGCATTTGCCATACAGAGCCCACTTTTGCACCTATGGAAACTGAAAGGCGTCGCTCCAATTTGGTTTAGGATCTGAGGACGATGATAAGCTTGCAGGTCCTTGGCAACAACTGGTTTTGAAGAAATCCTAACAATGCGTAAGTTTGGGGGTTTGCTCGTCGAAGCAGACTCTCCAAATGTGACGCAGGATCAAGGAAATGAAGAAGCGTTAGGGCAAGCGAAAGGAATGATGCCATCCTGGCCTGACGGTGCCTCTGGATCTAGCTCGGCCTCTGCTTCAACAAGTCAATCGCCATGCGCTCGATACCATCCGTATGCTCGCAAAAGGCACCCGTAAGTCCATATTTTTCTCCTCTACTGTTTGTTCTCTCTCTCTGGTTCTCTGAGTGGAATTACCATTTGAGCTTATGACAGTACGAGGATCAAGTTCTGATTACCGGCAAGACAAAAATATTTATCTGCTGACCGACCACAATATAACAATCTCAAAAGTTGCCTTTCTTTTAGTCTGCAATGGGCTAAGTTCTCTCTAGAGAGGAGCTCCTATTGGGCAACTGGGCAATCTAAATCCAAACAAAGCCAGCGAATGTACATGGCTTACCCGATAAGCAGTTTAACATTAAGCTCACTGCTTCATCCGGTGGGAAGAAGTCAGGCACAGGCCAAAGGCACTTTCTTGTCCATCTGGAGAGGTTAATGATGCGAATGCTGTAAACATTTGAAGCAAGGAACATAAACGTTTCCCTCAAGTTTCAGAGCCCTCAAATTACTTTTCCTTTTTATCAAGGATTTATTATTAGCTCGGTTTTGTTGATGTTTAACTCGTGACAGATGAACCCCGTCTTTTGTGGACGCCCTGGTCTCCGAGCCCAACATGTCCTGCCAAGTTTTTAAAGAACTGGGTTTTGTATTTCTTTCCCCTACCGAGAGCTTTGGCTCTCTTACAGGCACTGATTTTCCCTGCATTGCCTTGCTGTGGAGGTAACCGGGTCCCGAGTCCGTCATCCACGAGGGCATTCTACTTTTACTTTGCCTTTCCGGGAATTCGAGCACGGGTCTTGATTTCTCCACAAAGCCATGCTACCAAGCGAAATAACACAATACTTGTCAGGTCAAATACAGCATCAGATACTCAAAGAAAGGAAATTGCAGTCAGCAATATGTTGAGCAGAAAATGGATCACCGTTGGACATAGTGATACCATGATCCTGTGAAAAGAAAAATACCAGAAGTATAACGGCAAAAGAGTGCGGCAATATCTTTAGGCTTTTCTATGGTTGGAAAGTGATACGTTTAGTTTTCAAAACTAGGAGCGAGTTCAAACACAAGTTTCATTGTGTCGGTAGGATTTGTTGTACGTTGCCTCGAACGTGAATACAACGTTCAACCCAAAACTTGAATGAATCTAAGTACTGTATTTCAAGTTGCACGGTAGGAAGAATGTTATGGACACGGAGCCGAAAATTAGACTAGTGGTTTTGATCAGGTCTTCAGACTTATCGATTACGTGTACCTTCAAAATCTCCATCGTTCTTCTTTTATAGTTATCACAAACTCTTGGTTTTCAAATGCCTTCTGAATTGTCACATCAGTTCACCCACAATTTGAGTGCGAGCTATAGAGTCATTTTGTCAACCCTAGTTTCTGTAGTGGACGAGAAAGGTGCATAGGTGCTGGCTGAGCTCTTCAGTCGCTGTCCGGAATCTGTCATAGCTACTCACGTAGTTGATCTCAAAGCCTTGAAATCGATCATTGCCAAAGTAGATAGAAGTGAAGCTACTCGTAGTGCCTGATACTGATTACTAACTTCATCCTATTGATTGTGGTTTTATCGAGAATAGCGGCGAGAATGTTCTACGGCTTCTCGCGTGGAGAGAAGTGGCTCCTACTGTCAAGAGGCCTCTCCGACGACTCTGGGGTGAAGCCGCCACGTGGAGTGTGAGCTGCTCTGGATATCAACGAGAAGTCACAGATGCTAAGATGGCGCTTGTCACGTGGTGTGTATCTCATAACGCACTTCAACCACTGTTTGTAATCTTTCACAGATGTGTCTCATAGGTTAGGTTCTGCTTTGTCTACTGATAGTACTGCCACTATCACCTAACTTCGTTCGATAAATTGATCTGTGTTCACGCCTGCTGTATTATGAACTTTTTTTCAACAGATTTCAGCTCTACTGTCAAAAATTGAGTTCTAATATCTTTCATTCTACTTCTTGTTATTCAACTTAGGCTGGAAGCGGAGTCTCTGAGTCATTCTACTGCCAAATACTGTCCTTTACAGCCAGCGCCAAGATCAACCATAGCTGCAGCGTTCAGTCCAGATGGGAACACTCTTGCTTCTACACAGTAAGCAACGTTGCTCTCTTTGTAACTAAAGCGTATTCTAGAAGGGCTTGTTGCCTGGCTTTTTACCGCCGTCATTCATGATTTCAATATACCTTATAATGCTTAGACTCTAGATAAGGAACAAATGAAGCGTGTTTCTAGAATCCTTTATGGTTAGGCGACATGAGACTGATCAATTGTAATATATTGCTCTCAGCGGTGATCACACAGTCAAAATAATTTGCTGCCGAACAGGCTTCTGTCTGAAAGTCCTCAGTGGCCACAGACGAACTCCATGGGTGGTAAGCCACGAGCTCCTTTGTCGTTGTAACCTCCGCGCCTCGGTTGAACCAGCCAGAAATCATTTTCAAGACCTCAATTGCATTATACCCGACAGCTTTACCTGCTTGTTAGAGGTTGCCAGTAAGAAGTAGCAGTTTCTTTTTGTAAGTGAGTATCCGAGGGAGATCTCTCTTCTACTTGCGTTATTTTTGTTGTAATTTTAACGCATGCTTTGTCTGATGTAGGTACGGTTCCACCCTGGAAGTTCAGAAGTTCTTGCTAGTGGGAGTCTAGACAATGAAGTGCGCCTATGGGATGCCAACACTGCCGAATGTGTTGGGTCTCGAGACTTTCGTAAGTATTGGCACTTGGCTCGCGACCCAGCGTTGTTTACACAATTTGTCATGTCGTCTTTGGGATTTTCATCCCGCTTCCGTAGTCAGTGATTGTTACTCTTTTGAAGAGACTGAGGACTTACTTCGTCCATCTCAACGTGCAGATCGACCAATTGCATCCCTTGCTTTTCACGCTCAAGGGGATTTACTTGCTGTCGCCTCTGGACACAAGGTGAACGTAGTGTCTAATGTTTTCCTGTTTTCCATAGTTTTTTGTTTAAGTAAGGAGCAAGAACATTATGAAATTAGTTGTTTGCAAAATGATCCGGCGATTCATCTTCATATCTAAACAAACGCTTTAAACTTAATCCTTACGTCGTAAATTTGCAGCTGTATATTTGGCAATATACCAAGGAAGGTGAAGCCGCCTCCCCAATTATAGTACTTCGAACTCGTCGATCTCTACGTGCCGTGCATTTCCACCCTCATGCTGCTCCACTGCTTTTGACTGCAGAGGTAATATGACAGTTCTTTCTTGAAACGATCACATTTTAAACAGCAGTCATCCTACGGGTCGAAGTTAGCGGAGGTCACACTACAATTTTCGACTTGGTTGCATTTGCAAATGTTCGTTTACATACACAACGGTGTTGCTCAAACTGGGTCTTAGTTTGACCTGTTTCACTGCTCTGTACCGTTATTTCTTCTGTGTGTTGTTATTCTCCTTCCTTTTTCTCCTATTTACAGAAGGACGGAGAGTACCAGGATCAACCTGTTTCCAGTACCCCGTTCTCCTTCACCTTGAGTCTTTACTCCAATTTAAGTATGCGTAAAACTCAGATTTTGGACTCTGTTTTTCATTACAGGTGAATGATTTGGACTCACCTGATTGTCCGATGACATTGGCTACATCACGAGGTTATCTGCACTACCCTGCTCCAGCTATTCATTTCACCACTGCAACGTCTGCTCAGCAATCAAACCCTCAATTTCCAATTTCTCAACCCTTTGTATCATTTCCTGTTTGGTTTTGGCCAGGCCTGGCAAATGGTAGTAATGATACACAAACGGATGTAGCCTTGGGTGAGAATTCGGCAGCACCTGCAGATAGGCATGATGATGCTGAAGATGGATCTAATGGTGCGATAGAATTGGAGAGGGATTCAAGTTTGCAGCTTCATACTACAGAGTTTTCAAGTGCTGCACCCATGGATCTGTCTCCGAGACCAACTCATGTGGACTCATCAGCTGCTAGTACTAGTGGTGAAAACAAGTGCGAGGTTCCAGAGACGGAACTACCGAACAGCTTGAGTGTTCAAGATTTTGGAGCTGAGCAGACTCGGGAAGGACTAGCTTTGGCTGGGGATCCAGGCAGAAGTAGTCCGACTGTGGTTGGCGCACCTTGGGATGTTGGGGAGCCTCCTATGTATCCAGTGTCTTCAAGAACAACAAATGGATCTTCGTCTAGGGGCCCAGTTATTCCTGTTGCCCGTCGGCAGGTGGATTCGGGAGGATCTGGACCAGGACCAGGCATTTGGCCCATAACTGCTTTTTCGAACTTGAACTCCGCATCGATGACAGGGGGTCCAAGTGGTCCACATTTTGTACCTTCTGCTGACTATTCAACGTGGGACCTGCCGGTTTTACACGGTTGGGTACAAGGTCAACAAGCTGGCCTTGCTCAACCCCAAAGCTTTTCTACAGTTGCGGGTCTGCAGAGTGGATTATCAGGAGGTATGACACCTCAAAACGAAGGACGCGCTTCTCAACCTCATCATTCACAGCAACAAAATGCACCTGCTACAGTAGCATCTGCTGCTCTTGCAGCACTAGCAACTGCTGCTCGAATAGGGGCAGGTAACTCTCACATCGGTCCAGGCGTACGGCAGATTGGAAATCCTAGTCCTGGAAGAGGAATTCAATTTCCCCTTAGCACAGTGGATCCCGCCGGCGCAGCTCAGGCTGCCCTTGCTGATATCCCTTGTACAGTGAAACTTAGGATATGGCCGCATGATATTAGGCGACCCAGTGCCTTGCTCGACCCGGAGACATGCAGGCTTACCATACCTCATGCAGTTCTGTGCAGGTTCGTGCCGTTGGTGGACTGGTGCTCTTGTGTTTGTCTGTCATGGGTCATTATTTTTTCTTGTCCAGAGTAGGTAGAAGCAGTAACACATAGTATGTTCTTGTTTGCTGCGTGATTCGAATAACGTCGAGTATGCGTTGGTTAGACAAAAAGTTATACTTAGGTGTATCACTCAATCCTATCTTGCTATATGAATTATCAATTTCGTTACTTGTGACCTTGATGTTCGCAAGTCCGATGATCTCACGCCTCTTTGTTGGTGTTGGTGAATTCAACAGCGAGATGGGTGCGCACTTCTCCCCTTGCGGTCGATTTTTAGCTGCTTGTGTGGCGTGTGTCTTGCCTCCGCCCGAGTCAGAGATGCAAGGCCAAGGACAACGTAATATGAACGGTTCGCCTGGTGGTGGAAACACTGTCCATTCACCTACGCAACATCCAATTTCCTCTCAACAAGTCATCTATGAACTACGAGTTTATTCCCTTGAAGAGGCAACGTAAGTCAGAAGTCCACATCTTTTCTGTAATTTACATTTCGATTTTATATAGAGTAGCTCCCCACATCCGTAGTTGAGCACCTGAGTGTTTGCTGTGTTTACAACTCTGACTTCTACTACTAGTCAGTATAGTAGTCAGATAGTTGCCTGGAACGAGGATTAGATCGAGGGTGAACGAGATAGATTGGGGAGGTCACATAAGGTTCATGTTATTGAGTGCCTTCACAATGTGCAGTAGATCTCTAGTAAAGAAGTGGCTAAGTCAATAAGCATGTGGGCTGTATCTTTCATCAACAAAGTGAGAATGTAATCAAGTATGCAACCGCTAGGTACAATAGCAGCTAGTAAACACTAGCTGTAATTGTAAAGATCATGTCATTCGAAAGACGCACTAAACCACACTATACATGAACCATAAACCTCTTGCAGTGTCTATCTCCACCTGGTTTAGACGCTTTTTGTCATTATTTCTTCACAGTTAGAGCTGACCGTTATCTGTGTACCTGATTGCCATATCTGTATAATTGTGTCAATCTGTGCAGATTTGGTCAGGTTCTTGCTTCCAGAGCCGTCCGAGCTGCCCACTGTCTCACCTCCATCCAGGTTGGTTAGGAGTCTTTTCAACAATTGCCGGCGAGATTTGATTTCCATGGATTCTAATGTAGAAGTTTATTTTCATGCCCCCTATGATTGGTGCCAGTATGACGAACTCTCAATTTTTCAGTCAGTTCCATATTGTTCCCTGCAAATAAAACATTTAACACAGTTTCTTTGGTTGATTTTCCAGTTTTCCCCAACTTCAGGCCACATACTGCTGGCTTATGGTCGCCGGCATAACTCACTTCTAAGAAGCCTTGTGGTGGACGGCAGTAGAACAATCCCCATTTACACAATTCTTGAGGTTTGTTAAGTTAACTCCTGCATTGAGTTTTCAGTTAGCAGTGATATGTATAGATTCTTAAGTTACGCGTAGCTAATACGAAGCTATTCAAATTCAAGTAAGAAACGTATATCCTAGTTGAGATAGCATCAGGAGGAAGTAAATTGTTTGTTACCACATTTGCTACTGGATGTCAACTTTAGTCTTCTCTGGAGAGAGAACAGTATTTCGATTGATAGTCACGCATGCAGTAAATAAGTTATACGCTCATCGTTATACATGTTGTGTTCTGATCCACGTTGTATTTATTTCACCAGGTATATAGAGTGTCTGATATGGAATTAGTACGAGTACTTCCAAGTGCTGAAGATGAAGTGAACGTTGCGTGCTTCCATCCAATGGTCGGAGGTGGCCTCGTTTATGGGACTAAGGTCAGTCTATCTTTGAGATCAGGTTGATTTGTTGTGTCTGCGTACTCGTTTATGACTTGGCATCACTTAAGAATCCATACATACCACTGCTAACTCAAAATTCAATGCAAGAGTTAACTCAACAAACCTCAAGAATTGTGTAAATGGGGATTGTTCTACTGGCTTTTTAGAAGTGAATTATGCCGGCGACTATAAGCCAGTAGTATGTGGCCTGAAGTTGGGTAAAACTGGAAAATCAACCAAAGAAATGGATCATTGGCGTAATTCTATTCAAACATTCATCTTAGGGGTCCATTTTCGAAGTTTGTACGTGTCCAAGGTTCTCATATAAAGTTTATTTTGATATATTTTCTAAGCATTTGCACTCGTTTATTGCACACCAGGAAGGCAAGTTGAGAATACTTCGACATGATCGAACTCCAAGGCATCTAAAGCCTCGTAGAGTACATGAACTTGAAGATGAGCTGCTTGAGGTATGCTGCATGAAACTACTCGGTTTACATCTCCAGACTAAATGTGATCTGTCGGTATTGTTTCTTTCACCTTCTTGTTGTTTGTCTTGAAAATCTTTACTTTCGTATAGATAGTAAAAAGCATCCTCCTCTGAAGGCAAAATGGGCAGAAGCTTTGGAGACAGCGTGGCCTTTCTAGGAGGTGACTGTTCTTTGGGCACTTTTTTTGGGGAAAATCTTTTTCTTGTTATTACTTGGCTGGACGTCACCACTCTCATGAGGCTTCTTCGTCCTTCTGACTTCCATGTTTCAAATTTTTTTCCTACCTGGACATGTCGTAGAACCGATGGCAAGAAGCACATGTTTGTAGTGAACCTCGTCCTTCATTGTTGCATAGGCGTTTCAGGGTCCATAGAATGGAGAACTGGACTACCGAGAACGATAATAAGAGAACATATTTGTCTATTCGATGTGGATCTCAATAGAATTTCCGGGTGAGTGGTTACCTTGAAGTCTAAAGGACTTCTTTGAACTTTACCGTCAGCCATCATTCGATATCCAGCTAAAGCTAAAACTGGTCTTGGTCCTCTGTCATGGCTCGAAAAGTCGATAGATTGTTTATTTTATAACGTGGTATGAATTTAGTTGCCTCTTTTCAAAAAGGTAAAAGAGGCAACCTTCTTGTTCTTTAGACCTTCTTGCTTCTCCCAACCTTCTTGTCGGACCTAAGCTTCTATTCCCTTCCGAACATTTTGACTGTTTTCATCTGTAGTATCAGTTTAGGAGTCATACCTGTTTCCTGTGAGGAGAAAAAAGGGTAGCTGCATGGGTGCTGCCACGAAGCACTGTAAATACATCCTAATTGTTGTCTAGAACCCAGTACGATGTTCATGTATCCAAGAATTAGTCTGAAGCTTCTCTGAAATCTGAATGAAGGTTCACCTGGAATCATCGTTTCTTTTTAAATTCTTTTGAGGGTTGTCTGTCATAAGAGTTCTAGCAACTCCAAAAGTACAACAGAAGACATTAATAGGAGCGAATACACTTCCTAGATTGATTACCTTATTGTAGAAAGCGTGCTTGACCTGTGTCTGATTATAGTTGGATTTCTTTCTTTAGCAGGCTGAGACGGCAGATCCCTTAAGTTTTGGTATGTTGCCAGACATCGAATGATGATCGTTGCGGATTGGAACTTGAACTCCCACATGTCCACTTTCTGTACAAGAGAGTTTGTCACACTGGTAGTTCTTCTCTGAGCTTCAGAATGCTCGATCCCAAGTTTCAGTGGAGTTTGTGGTAGTTAAAGTCAACCAAGCAGACAGTATTCAAATTTCTCAGCCAACTGTCTACTTTCAGGTAGGCCTGTATCAAATTGTTATTACTGGAGAGAACTCAACATTTGCTGCACCCCAAAGAAGAGCTCTTAGAGGGGCAGTATTTGGTTTATGGACGAATTTTGACATGGTTTGAAAGGAGTTAAATCAGCGTAGATCAGTGGCACTGTTGAAGAAATATTTGTGTGGAGAAGATGTTATTCCAGAGGTTACTTTACAGAAAGATGGAGAAGATGAAGAAGATGGGACTCCCAATCTGAGATGGGACCCAATCACCGCGAACTTGTGTCATCAGTCAATGTAGTATCTGGAGATGATGCTTGAAAAAGTTGTGTGTAATCTATGAAGTGTATAGGTTAGGAGCCATTGTTTGTACTTACTATTGTTTGTGAACCGTAGTAGAAGAAGTAAATTGGGTTGGTGGAATGGCTGGCAAATTCGGGATATCTTCATAGAAGAAAGGTCTAGCTCTTGAATTGGATGTCAATATACTGTAGGCACCTATGGATTTTTGTTGCATTTACATTCTCTGGCGAATTTCTGCTCCTTTGTCGGTATAAATTGGTCGATCATTCACAACGGACAAATTTTCCACTCGTATGATGTAGTGAAGCATTTTCCGATTCACTGGAGTATATATTGAAACTGTCTCTAATAAATTCGTCCATGATCATGCTGTTCGACCTCTCCGAACAAATGGAAGCCTGGCTGTACAATTTCACTTCTGCTCCGATGGCGTGAACCTTTTCCCCACATTTCCAAGTTAGTACCGGGAAATTGGACCCACCTAACTCGTCCCGTACGGAAAGGTTGGCCACAGACATTTTCAAGTTTTTATGCCTCGTTTCCTGCAAAGAAGCTGTTTATATGGTTCACTCTGCTCCTCGAAATGTCGGAGAAGTTTGAAAGTATGTAGGAGCGACTCTAGATACTATTCTAGATTCTACAATGTTGACTAAGTTTAACTTAGTCAACATACTTAGATACTTAGTTATTTGACTTCTAGATACTTGGTCTTGGGCTGGACAATGGAATACCATGTTGAACAGGTCCATCCGGATGCAAATATTATTATCGAACACAGGAATAAGCCAGCGACATCCTCTCAACGTGTGGACGAATAACTATTTGCGTTCTTAGTAGGGATGTGAGTCAGGTCTAAAAGTCTGAGGCTTTTAAGCGAATAATTAGGTTTCTACTGCCCATGCGTGTGTTAATTCCATGTCAAATTTTTTTGAATCTGATAAGGTCTTCAGCATAGACTTAACGACAGGGAGAGATGCATGTCTGGAGGAATTCAATTATGAGTCTTGCGGAATTCAACTATGAGTTTTCTTTCTCCGAGTAAACTGCACAATCTGCAAAGTCTTCTACATGAGACATCAACTGGCTGGAGATCACAGCAAGTGCTGAGTGTAGTCATCATCTTCTTTGATATGCAATTGGAATGACACATCTGATTCCACTGTTCCTAATTTATACTGAAACTTGGACTATTTGTAGAAGCATGCCAGAACATGATTGAAGCCAAACTGATAACCTGGTTACATCTAGTAGGGAGTATGAATCTGGAAAAACATAGACATACTTTTATCTTGTAGTACCAAGTACTCTTTATTACAGTAAAAAGTTTTTTTTAAACCATTTGTGTCTAAAGTGGATGTTGATAGCTATACCTCATATTTATGAAGTGTTAACCTGAGGTTTGAATGCATATTTCAACAAAAAATAAGTACAAGAAAAAGGCACATGAACTAAGAAAAATTCCAAAAGGATTAGGCTTTAAGATTCTGACTCCTTCATTGATATAAGTTTCACCCCACCTTTTATGCGACAGGGAGAGAGATTCATGTATGGCTTTACTTACATATATATCTGTGCTGTACATTCTTCCCTTCTGCGATATATCCAAGAAAGTAGAACAAAGGAACAAAGGAAAGACAATATGAAATTTAAGAACAACTAGAAATGTTTCACATGACCTTAATACAACGAGCGACGTGGAAAAGGATGGTTCCTCATTCAGTATTTTTGATTTTCATGCTTGATCATGAGGTGTTGTTTCTTGGTTTACTTGTTCTGCAGTTGAGTCATTCTCAATAATTTGGATTGCCGCTTGTTTGCAAACAATACAGTTGAAACTTTGCATTAAAGAAACATATTGTCACCTAAGTTGATGTTAAATGTGTCTCAGTTTCATTAAGATGTAGCAGCTCTTTAGTGAATCTATTACATTCGACAAATTATTTTACAATTTGAGTACTTATGAACTCTTACGTAGAATAAATCTGTTCTAGCTACTGTGGAACGATGTTTTTTCTATCGAAGTATTGCTACACGAAACTGGTTTAAGATGCCTTATGACACAAACTACAATCCTGCATGGCATTTACTGCACGTTATTTCTTCAACCTTTCTCAAATTTCCAAGAAAACAAAAAGTTTATGAGTATTACACGTCCAAGAACAGAGCTAGTTACGTTATCTGTTAGTGCGAACCACGAGATGCTGTGATCTTTAGATCACAGCATCTCGTGGTTCTCACATTTACATCATGATCAAATAAGGATTGTGTTTTTTAAAGCTGTTTCTGCACTTAGTGTCTATATCTGGAATTGATGTTTATCTCTAGAACATGTTAACATCAGATCCGCCGCGAGACACACAATTGTCTTCGACTGTTGCAATTTTATATAGCAGGTATCTATGAACAATGAGATATGTATCAACATTCCACCTTAAATTAGAATCTCACATCTCAAAAGTTTTTCACTTCTCACCATAGATTTTAAAGTTGTAAATATGTGTATTGAAATGTAATGGAGTATTATTTTTCGCAAATTGAATTACTCAGAAGTCTTGGTCGTCCGAAAAGAAATATGAGGGCTACTACAATTCCTACTTCTGAGCAACGGAGGTGATAAACCATACCACTGGAGGGTTTATGGCTGGGAATATAATACTTTGTAAAGAAAGCAGTTGACATTATGGATGATAATGAAAAATACTCTTTATATAAGAAGTAAAATGTTGAAGCAAAAATTGTACTTCATGCATGAAATTCTTCAGATTGAAAGTAGATGCACAAATTCATGGGTAACAAGGCTATGTACGTTATAGGTTTTGGTTTAATTGTTGACTAATCAAAATCATAATTGTTATATTTAATGGATAAGCAATAACAATGTGCATGTCATATGAGGGGACTAATAGATTGCAGATACTTGAACCAAAAATGCAGTTCTAACTTAATAGAAAATTTGCTCTAAAACCAGTGCAAACTTTGATGTAATTTCAATTCTTATCAATTCACAAGCTCCATCCAAAAGCTCATCGACAAAACCGAGAGCTTTGCACGAGCACCTGCACGATATCATCGTCAAAGACTTACTTGTAGCAATTGTCTTGTTCAATCTCCAACTGATTGATGACATTTTCATCTCATCGATGGTATTGTCTTTATGAGTGGACCCAATTTCCGCAGTTGTTGCTTGGTTTGCCGGCACCTTGAGTATATTTGCATACATCCATGAGCGCAAACACATGGTCATGATAAACACCGATCACAACAAGAACGGCCAAAAGCTGATAAATTTGCAACCAGCAATTATGTTGACACTCTTTGATGATGTTAATGTTGTCAGCCAAGATAATCCAAGGCCATATAATAGTGAACATGCAGGATTTTCACTCGGGCTGATCACCAAAACAAGATGTCAATAAAACCCTTATGTTGGACGACACAGATTGATAGGAATTGGTCTACCTCATCGAGCATGCTATTATCGTTCTCTGGATCATGGCGTATTGATTGGCTCTTCGGCTCAACGGCCGAATTGCAAGATTGCAATTCGGACAAATAGCAGCGTTGAAGAATGTATTGAATCACCATTCGATCTCCGAACATTTCCAAAAGAGACAAGTCCTCACAAAAGCAACATTGCTTCTACTATGCCGGCAAATCAGTACGCTCATTAGGGCAGCAAAATCAACCAAATTATTGGCAAGTTAACAAACGTAGTGCAAAAACACAATTAACAAAGCCATCATCTTAAGCAAATTAATAGCAAGTTAACAAACGTCATGTAAAAATGCAATTAACGAAGCCGCCAACTTAACAGGTAATTACTCGGATAAGAGGGTAGGTAAACCTACATTACATTTACTCTTCCCTCTACCTTACTCATTGATTACCTTCACACCTTTACACGTCACTTGTACCTTGTACTCTTGAGTAAAGATAATTTACTTAACCTTGCTGAGGCATAACCTTCTAGTTTGTCCACAACGTATCGACTGTGATATTTTTTCGCGATTTACTATGATTGTGTCCACAACCGTTGCTCGCAACTGAGTGTCAACGTGGTCCACAATGTTCGTCTGTAGCTGACCGTCATTATCGCCCACAACCGTCGTCCGCAATAATCACCCACAATTGATTGTCGCACGCGATTCACGTCACTGTCGCCCGCAATTGATTTTCACCGTTGCTTGCAATTGACAACATCGTTGACTTTACACCGTCACTATCATCGTCAACCGTTCATCTATCATGGTTGCTTTGCGGTCACGAGAGGCGGCGCGACCTTTTGGCAAGGGGAATGGAGACGCTACGTCACGCGCCGATGTACTCCTTTGCTGCCCTGCCATTCGAGAAGGAAGGATGGGGGCGTGCCACTCGCTCTGTTGCTTGGTCGCTTCAACCATCATCCAAATCTCCGTTAGAGGAAAATTGAGCTTATCAAATTCAAAGACTAAATCGTTGCTACTTGCAAATCTGAAAAATCACTTAAATAAACATCTTCACCCCTTGGTATCGTGGATGCCACAAGAAACTTGGAGGTGTTGCTTTCGATATGGATACTCGTTATAATACCACGCTCATAAGGATGGCGAGGGGATGTGCAAATTTTGATTGCAGTAGAAAAGAGCAAAAACGATTGTCTAGACATAGATTCCTCTTGCAATTCACGTCTTATTTTTTTTTGTTTTGGAAGTCATCCGATACCTCCTTCAGCTTTGCTTCACAAATGGAGCAAGTTGTGAGCTTGGACTTAGTCTACATGGACCATATTTATTTCAAAGAAAGTTGCTTCATTTAAGAGTGTAATGTGAATGGCTGCTGAGAACTTGCAAATCGCACAGCATCCAAACACGTTGACACATGTTTACACAAGAAGTGATAGCTACAAACCAAAGGTGCGGCAGGATGAAGTTGGTGATTTTGTTTATCTACAAAGAAAGTCGAATGATACACTGAATACTTCTACTAGTCGCACTCATCTACGTATTGAGACAATTAGGACTTTAGATGTGCTAGAGTTGCAAGGAATAGACAAATGCATTTTTTAGGACCATTTTAAAAACTGCGCACTGTGCCACTTGCCTAACCTGGATCCTATCAATGTTACTTCCACGTTGATTTCTCCACTT